ACAAAAACCCCCCCAAACAAAGCAAGTTTCTTTCTTCGTTTATTTCAGCGGCATGGATTACATCAGAACATTGACCGAGTCATAAATTACTTTAATTACACGTCCACCAGCAAATTATTTCTTTCTGCTACTCCCCACTTTCACCTGTCGTTTTTTCACGTGTTTGGGAATTTTTGTCTGTCTTTTCTCTTTCTGTGAGTCTTTCACTTGCTTCTTTCTTTCCTGAAACACAAATGGATGGAGAAAGAATCAGGTAAATGCAATCTGAAAGTGAAATAAATCGCAGGCAAACTTCCAAAACGTCTCATGAAAAATCAACACAAACACATACATCAGCCGAGCTTCGGTCTTCGGCTTCTTCACACCGCCGGCAAATTCTTCAGCAGGTCTCAGCCCACAAAGCAAAAGTTGTTACCAAAGAGAAAAAGCAATATTTTTTTTTTATAATTAGACTCACATATAAGAATATTTCTTGCTATTTTTCAGTATTTAAAATTTGAGTTTCCACAAAATATTCCTGAAACATACGTGTGAGTGCCTAGATAAAGGTACCAAAAGTCAAGTCGCTCCAAACTGTTTCCAGCTACAGGCTGATAATAACAAAAATCACTTTATGAACAAAATGTGTTCCCATAAAAAAATGATAGATACACCATCGTTTTACGATGTGCTCAAAAGGTTTTCATTGATTTGACATCGAAATATTTCATTTTGGATTATTTTGAGGGTAGGGTATGATGAAAACAAATAATGAAAACTGCTTTGAAAAGGTGCTACAATCTATTCTTGAAGCACATTTATGGTTCCCTGCTATGTTTTCCCATTCAATTCTATTCCTTATAGCGATGTCAACTCAATGACAAATTGGAAATGAATTTTCCGTGAACAAATACATTTAAAAAATCGGTTTTTTTAAAAGTTTGTATGTGTTCTCACACCCCCTGTTCAACTTAAAAGCCCATTTTCTCAAAATTATATTTTATACCCTACCTTGGAAAATGTGCAATATCTAAAAAATTCAAAGACCCCTGTGTTTAGCATTGAATTTCCTATGACTTTATGAGGTACAACGCTTAACTCCAAATGGTGAAAATCCCACTTTTGGTACCTTTCTCTAGGCACACACACACACACA